ATGATGCATTAAAAACCAAAATGATTCTTGAGCAAAAATGAGTTCATTGTCATTTTTCATTGTGTGCTATCTTTAAAAAAAAAAAAAAAGAAAGACCTATGCTCTGTCTAAAGTGGGAATGCAAAAGGAGACATAAAGTGCCACACTTTTTTAAGAAAAATGAGCATGAGCTCATTCCCCTGTGGAAATGAAGAATAGTCTCTTGTCTTTAATATGCAGACAATGCACATGACTATCTCGCACACTGTGCCACCTCACTAATTTATATCACCTTCCTGGCCACCAGGAATACTAGAATTTGCAACTGCTGGTGTAGAGAATGTGAGCATGAATACAGACAGACACACACACGCACACACACACACACACACGTGTTTGTGTGTGTGTGCATGTCTGTGTGTGTGTCTTATTTATTACACTATTCTATATTAGGAGCCCTTAGCTCATCAGAAATGTTTTAAAGATTCTCTAAGTGACAAAAGCATAAATCTAAGTACAATTTGTCACTTTTATAAGCTCTGAAAATACCAAACTGATTTCCTCATAAAGATCCTGCCATCAGTTAAATGGATAAACCATTAGGTTACAAATAAAAAACAGCTCCATAGTTAGGACTCTACTAATGTGCTGATTGTTCATAGACATCGCTGGGTGGATGGACCTCAGTTGTGACATTATGAACACCGAGTATACCAGAATATAATATGGAAACCTAGTAGCAAGCCACAGAGTGTGCCCATAGTATTGTGGATGAGAGAGGGGTAGGCTGTAGAGCAGGGCCGGCTCACATAGCAGCATAGGCTGTGAACTGAGCATCTCTAGGGGCATCAGATGTATACAGAGAAGGTGTGCCTCCTCTTCTCTGGATTTACACAAACTGGGTACCTCGGAGTGGCCCAGCTTAGGCAGCTTTGGTCCCTCCCATCTGCAGCTCAGAAAGCCTCATAACTGCATCAGGCTTAAAGTCTTTCCTTGTTTATTCATTTTTGATTTGGGGCTTTCAGATAAATTTTGAATTTAAGAAACTTTCAATGGCTAAATATGAATTTGAAAATTCCTGTGCTACATGAGAAACAAAAGGGTGTTTTGTGGGGGGCTTACAGTGGGGTGTTTTGTTTTTTGTTTTTGTTTGTTTGTTTGTTTCAGATTACAAAATCTTTTCCTTAAAAATTGTGCTCTATATGTGTAGTAAGAATTGTAATGCATTCTGCTGTCGGGTATTTAAAAAAATAAAATCAATTAAAAAAAAAAAAAAGCTTTTCCTTAAAAGTGCCACAATCAACTACTCGGAAGAACAATTAGCTCTACTTACGATCTCTATGAACATAATGTGTTTCTTGCTATCTTTTAAGCATGTATGTGTTTGTGATCGTATTTTGCTTTACAAATTTGAGGTCACACTAAACATACAATTTTCTATTTTGACTCTTGTGTTTTATCAGCATTTTCTGTGTTTTCACTTGTTGAAATCATAATTTTAATGCCTGTATAATGCTATCATATTGGTAGATTGTGAATTGCTGAAACAAAACCTGATTCTTTGGTGTGCCACTTTGGCATGCTTCATTTGCTTTCTTCCTTTCTTTTTTCCTTTCTTCCTCCCTCTCCTCCTTTCTCCTTTCCTACCCCAAATAATTGAATTTGGTGAAATCCTCATTTGCATTTCTACTGCTTTCTTTTGGTAAATTCCTAAGTTCCTAGTGGCAAAAAATATGATAAGTAATAGGTATCGTGATGTAATAGGTATTACTATCTTCAAGGTGGAGATGAGTATTAGGAAAACTGTGAAAGCAAAGTGGGTGCGTAGAAGGGGCTTCCTTTTCTAGAAAGGGCTCCATATCTGATCTGAGCCCTGAGTAGGAAGTGGGAGAAGCCTGGGGAATGCCCGTGGGAAAGGTCTTCTGGGCAAAGAGATCAGCAGGTCTCAAGGCCCTGAGGTTGGAACTTGCTTTGAATTTTCTTGAAGAGAAAGGAATCCGGTAGGTAGGGCTTCACTGGAGTGTGCCTGGAGTTCCTAGAAGGATCTGAGGTGGACATCTGATAGGGAGGGGGGCTGGACACAAAGGACTTTAATGAGGCTTGGGAAGAATTTGAGTCCATCGAAGGATTTCTAGCTAGAAAGTGGCATTCCTGGATCCCTTGGTGGTGAATCGGGTGTGGAGGCAGGAATGGAAGCCGCAGACAGATCTGTTAGTAAAGATATAATGGTCGTGCAGTCGTAGCTGAAGTAGCCTTTGTCTTCTCTCCAAGCAAAAATCAAAGAAACTAGGAAAACAAGAAAGTGTGGAGAGGGGTGGTAACGATGTAGTATACCCTTTGCTTTTTTCTTAGGAAGCACCTCTAGGATGTTGTTTAGCTTTTCTGTTATTAGTGGTGTAGAATACTATTCAGTTACTTAATTGTCAAGTAGTTTTGTCGTTATTTTTAATGAAGTGTGTACTCATGTTTACTGGGATGGGATTTTGTCAAGTTAAATGAGTGTTTCAGATGTTCATATTATTCTTACCATATCACTTGAGTGAATCTGTTATTTATCAAATTTCTGGCACATGATTTCCTAGTTTCTTGGCCTAGTTTGCTTCATGCATGGTTAATTTTTCTGTAAGTTTTCAATCCAAAGCCAAATCTCTGCTGGTGACTGTGGCTTTAGTCACCCCTGGGCCCAGATTCCGTTAGGAAAGCTTTCTCTCCTTCCCAGGTGCTGGGACTGTCTTCGTTTCAGTCTCCAAGGCCACTTCCCACAGGACTCTGCCTGTCGACTCTCTATGAATAATTTATCTGTGGACCAGTGTCAGACTTCCCCTACTTCCTGGCCAGGTGTTTGGGAAGAATAAAGAAGAACGGCAAGAGGACGGGGAGAGCCTTATACATGCTACAAATAGCAAATCTCGGGAATGAACAATTAGCAATTCCCGCCTGGATTTGTGAAGCAGAGGAGAATACAGGTGAAGCGACAGCCCTCAGACCTGTGTGGTTTAGACCTGGTTGTTCTGTCCAGTGACATGGGAGTGGTGCTGACTTTCAGAATCTAATTCTACTGGCCTTACAGGAAGCTTTTCATCTTAGAGGTTGGTGATGGTGTTATTTTCAGGTGAAGACATGGATTTACTTATTAAATGTAAGACTTAGGAGAGAAGGGGGCATTTTGGTTTTGTTCACATCACTTTACGCAGCACTCAGTACAACCGCTGATAGTCAAAGAATTCACATATCTGTCAATAACTAAATGAATGACTCTGAAATACGTAATGGTCGTGAGAATGGAGGACATTGTGTCACAGAGGTGAGTCGACTGTGGACTGTGATCCGTTCCACTGCCCTGTCTTCTCCAGATAGCTGTGCTTCTGGACTCAATGTCATTATTAGTCGCTGCCCCTCCAAGTTGGAACATACTGATGTCCACAGCGATTCTGGTTGCTGCTAGGGAGATATGCTTTTCTGTTTCATGGTCCTGTACCACTTGGCTTTTATATAGGTCTCTTTTGTGTTCTCCTGGAGGCCTCAGATCTCCTGTTCTGACTATTTGACTTTATTTCCTTTTTCTCGAGTTGACTTTTCCTGGGTAAATTTGGAGGGTGATGAGTTTTAGTATCTAAACTCATGAATGAAGTGGTATGTGGGGTAAGTATTGAAGGATCATAATAGATTTTCTTGTGATAAGTAAATCCCCTTTTATAAAGACCAACAGGCCATCATTATAACACACTGTTATATAACAGATGCCACTTGTTTACTGGTGGTAAATTAGATTTTTTTTTTACATTTAAATACAAAATTAAATGAAGCATCCTATTCTAAAACCAACTTTCAATTAGCATACCTATTGGGAAGAATGTGACAAAATGCTCCCTGGTGCTTATGTTTTCATATGAGATCTGTTTGGAGTAGTCACTGTCATTACATGCTATGATAAATTAGTCTTTACATGTCTGTTAAGCTATTGTGGCTTACAGATTCTTATAACTAAAGCTAAGCGGTCATGGCCAAAGAAGAAGTATCCAGTGCTGCCAAGATGGCACTGGAGAGTTGAAATGTTACCTAGATTTGGAAGCAAAGGACAAACAGGGAAGGAACAAAGATCACACACAGGAAGCTAATGTGCTTCATGAAATGGGTGCTAAGTTTACTTGACCAAGAATGAGGATTTGGGGAGCAGAAGACTCCCATCTGTCTCTTCCTCAGGTGTCTAAGGAGAGAGAAACTTAGTAAGGATAGGATCCAGGTGGAACTGGAGAGAGTACAATAGGTTCTCCAGGAACAAGCTCTAGAGATTGAAATAAATCAAGAACTAGCCTCTGTTTAGAGAATGGAGGAGATGGTCTCCTCCAGCAGAGAGACCAGGCCTTACATGGTAAGGTGCATAACCCAGAGCTCAATTGTCTGCTGAATCACTGGAGGAACGGTGTAACTAATCACCCGAGAAATGGATCTTCAAATCTGGAGAACACTAAGATTTGAATTTAATTTATGTGCCTATCATTACTCGAATCTTGGATTACTTTGGCCTTTATACAGTCTCACATCTTTTTTTTAAAACTTGTTTAAATACAAACATATTGACTTAAAATTTTGTTCAATAAATGGCCTCTCAAAACAAAGTATAAATTCAGCATGTGTGTTGGTTCTCTGAGCTCGATTTTGGACCAGTTATTGAAATAGCAGCAGCGGCAACAGCAGCAGCAGCAGTATTGTAATGAAATAAAATGAAATGACCTAATTGCAGTCACCTCTTTTCTCTCTTCCATTGCGTTTTTTAGAAAAATGGGTCAAAGTCAGTAGACTATTTGTGTTCTTTTCCTACTTTCAGTTTATTGAGTATCCATTTCCTGAATAGAACAAGATTTACTAAATTAAAAGGATAAGATATGGAATAAAGAAAACAGTCGTAATTATACCATGAGTTAGCTACATCCCTTTTCTGCACGCCAGAACTAATCGCCTTCTGATTGCAGAAGAGTTATTATTTTTTTTTTAAATAACTTATAAACCTTCTTTCCTTCCTGTAGGTGGAATGGCTGAAAAATGAAGAACCCATCGACTCAGAACAAGATGAGAACATTGACACCAGGGCTGACCATAACCTGATCATCAGGCAGGCACGACTCTCTGACTCAGGGAACTATACTTGCATGGCAGCCAACATAGTAGCCAAGAGGAGGAGCCTGTCAGCCACCGTGGTGGTCTATGGTAAGACCAGCCCAAAGGCCAGGAATGGATAGGGAGGGCAGAAGGCAGAAAAGTAGAGAGAGGAGTATTTCACTAAACGTTTCCCTGCTTAGAGCTGAAAGGACCTGGGGGGCTCTCCACTCCAGTGCTCTGTCCTGCCTCCCCCACTTGGCAGGTGAGGAAACCTCCCTCTTGCTATTGATGTGCTTGCTGTTCTGCCCAATATTGGACTTCAATTAGATAGTGACATTTCCAGTCTCTCCCTTTAAAAATAGTAATAAAAGTTGTTTGTTTTCTTCCGTTATGCTTATAGTTTAAAAGCATAATGGGCAGCTTCTCCATTCCCAAACCCACCATCCACCCGCCCCCCGCCAATTCCCTCTGCCAGTTGCTTTCTCTCCTGGCATATGAAATCACCAAAAACAAACATTACTATTTGCTGACTATCTCAGGTATTATAGAAAAGAAGTTCCCAGATGTTTAACTAAAGGCATTCCCTTCCATAATAGAAGAGCCTTGGGATTTATATTCAAAGCACTTAAAGTAATAGAAATTCAAATGCTGATATTTTCTTCTTATACTCTGGATTTTTCAAGTGCTTTAGAGATCTTTTGATAAAGTCTTCCTATTTTTTCATAATTTCCCCCACAAAGTACACTCTCTAGATCCTGCCTAATACAGATGAGTTGATTGAGGGGTAGCAGAGGTGAGGCTCAGGCTGTCTCACCAGTCTCTTGGTCCCCAGATGCCCAGCTCACAACACCTGGCACAGTGGCTTGCACATAGTAGGCAATCAGTAAAAACCTCTCTCCTTTTTTTTCTCCCCTCCCCATTTTTGTCTCTCAGTGAATGGAGGCTGGTCTTCCTGGACGGAGTGGTCAGCCTGCAATGTTCGCTGTGGTAGAGGATGGCAGAAACGTTCCCGGACCTGCACCAACCCAGCTCCTCTCAATGGTGGGGCCTTTTGTGAGGGAATGTCAGTGCAGAAAATAACCTGCACTTCTCTTTGTCCTGGTGAGATATACGCAGATTCCCTTTCCCTTCTGATCCACCAACACTATTAAGCTGGTGTGAAGCAATCAATAGAACCTTCCTTTCCAAAGTCACCCTTTCCCAGGATAGAGCCTTTGTCCAAGGTGCTAATGAGGGACTCATTGTAATGGCAACATTGTCAATTCAATACCCCTGTTCAGTGTTTTAGGGCATTTTTTTTTTATATATACTCAGATGACTCCATACACTCATTATCAGTAAGCCAAATGCTCTTTGAAGCATTTATACTACCATTGTTTGGTTGGGCTAAGCCACCCCCTTCTCTCCTTGGGTTCTCCCTCTTTGTGGCATGTCTTTGTATAACAGTAAGCAGGGACTAGCTTGTGTTCTTCAAGCACAAAGGATCAGGTACCAAACACTTGACCTTTTATCCATTTTGGCTTTGTATTTATTTATAATACAATTGGCAGGGATCATACACTTCTCACAGCAGTTCATATTTTACCTTGGGTATGTGTTTGCCTTTCTTTGTGAAAAGAGAGAAACCTCATTTACCAAATGTGTCTTTTATCAGTTCTGTTCTCCTCTTCCTGGCTGTTACCCAATTCATACAATGAAAAGTAGATGAAATGGAAGATGGCTTTCTTTATGGAAAGCATATCCTCCCACTGAGAAATAAATTGATCCTGCATCTCATATGCACTACAGAATATTAATTCCAAGGACACGGGACCAGAGCCTAAAATTTCAAACTTGGTTGCACCCAAAGCTAAGTTGAGGCTCTCACCAGCAGAATATTCTTGGAGTTTCATTTATTGAGTGCTTACTATGTGCCAGGTACTGCGCAGGATATTTTTCTATGTAATGTCATTTAACTCTGTGTTGTGAGTTTTATTATCTCCAGCTGATAGACTGGTCATTGTAGCCATATGATTGCCCAGTGTTGCATCGCTTATAAATTGGTACAACCAACTCAGGAACTCAGAAATTTTGCCTCAAGTTCACTATGTTTTTTTATTCTTACTCTACTCTTGACTAATTGCTTTAGATTAAAAATCGTGCTACCATAACCCAAATAAGCGTGGTTAGACTATTCCTAGGAGGTAATGGGGCAATTGTCTCAAACATCTGCCCTAATCTCTAGGGTTGATTTTTAATGGAATTAAGTTTAGTTTGTTCATTTCTACATACAGCAGCAGTCCATGACCCAAGAAATTCTATTTATGTAGGTCCTGGCATCTTGGGGTTTGACTGACCTGTTTTAGTTTAAAGTATCAGTATATTTGGGTTTAATTTTTTAATAGTATAGGGACATTTAGGGCTAGAAGATAGTTTATTTTTATTTTACCCTCTGTTCTCAACTGTCAACCCACAAGGCAGTAGCTGGTTACCAAGGGCTACTGCATAGTTCACCTGTCCATCTAAGATGCACTTGAGCATGAAAGACTGGGGAAGAATAGATAATGCCCTTATCAGCCAACCCAAAGATACTGGTCTTTCAGCTGCTTGCCTAAATTCAATAACTTGTCTCATCCTGAAATAGTAAGAGAATTACATCACTGCATTTTTTTTAGGAAAAAAAAACAGGGAGAGAGGATACACTTATCTGTGGATTTATTGTTATTTTGGTGATGATTTCTTTAAAATCCAGTGCTAAGGACAGCAGCAGCAACCCTGGAGGGAGGAGTCTCCTGACAGCTGCTTCCTTCTAATGATGGTTTCTGTTCTTTTCCTTTTGAAGTGGACGGAAGCTGGGAAGTATGGAGCGAATGGTCCGTCTGCAGTCCAGACTGTGAGCATCTCCGGATTCGGGAATGCTCAGCACCACCCCCGAGAAATGGGGGCAAATTCTGTGAAGGTCTCAGCCAGGAATCTGAAAACTGCACAGATGGTCTCTGCACGCTAGGTAACACCTTCTGTTTAACGTCTTCGGTGTTGGCGCATGATGTCCATATATTCACATATTTCAAGAAAGGATGTCACAACCATTAACTAGGTTAAAGTAGTCAGCAGGAAGCCAGGTCACCAGGCACAAAAAAGCAAATAGGTAGGAAGCATACTAACATGGGGCGATTTTTAATTTTTATCATAATCTAATCAGATAGAAAACATTGAAGACTATCAGTAGCTACCACTTGTGTTTGGTGAAATTCTGGTACTGACCACTGTGTGCTTAGAGTTCTCCCAAGAATTTTGCAGCACTATAAGACACGGAAGTGTTCAGAGGCCAGGATTCCTTGGCGAAGAATGTGTGTTGCAACTGTATCTTACAAATGGTGGGGGATAGGGAGACCTCTAGAGGTGTGTTGTTTCATGTCCCATTGATCAGACAGGGTAGAAAATGGCATGATTGTTTCAAAACTTCTAAGCCTTTGCTTTATTCCCAAGAGCAAACTGTTTTCATCTCCAAGTGACTGTATGCCTGGGTTAAAAGGGAGGATCAAATATATTCAAGGAGAGTCAGGGGTTTTTGGTTGGTTGGTTGGTTTGTTTCTTTGTGGCCCTAACCAAGCCACTTAACTTCCGTGACGATAAGTACCAGAAGTGATGATAGCCACTTTCAGTTACTATCAAGGCAAAATGAGAAAAAGACATATTGACATCTTTTATGGCACCAAGTTGGTGCTCAGTAAATATTAACCCCTCCTCCATTTCCCACTTGGATGAGCTGAGGTATGTTGATTTTACTTGGATCCTTTAAAAAAAAAAAGAAGACTGGGAACATACATATTTGCTGGAGCTAGTTTCCCTTCTTGGAAAATTCATGGGGTGATATCTAGAAAAAAATATAGCTCAATAGTTTGAGATCTTTTCAGGAATATATGTCACTTTTCATTAGGGAAAATGACAATATGTTGAATTTCTTTTTCTGCATCCATATGACTGGGTACCATTGAAGGCAAGCACATGCTAACTGTTTTGTGTGTTCAGAATAAATCTGTATGGGTTATTCATCGTTTAAAATGGCTAGAGCATTGAAACGAATACTTTTTTATAGTTCATTATTTTTTTTCCTCTTTAACAAGTTTTATTGGTGCATTACAATTATGCATAGTACTGGAATTTATTATGCCATACTCATTCATGCACATTTGATCAATCTCACTCTCCCTTCCCGTCCTTTTTTTTCCCTTCCTTCCTCCCCCTGATCTACTTGCTCTATCCATTGCTCCCATGTATTATTATTATTATTATTATTAGTAGTAGTAGTAGTAGTAGTAGTAGTAGCAAGTGTATCATAATTAGTTAGTGTATAATAATTATATATCCAAGCAGGATTCATTGTAGTATGTTCACACATGGACATAGCATACTTTTGAAGATTTTGTTCCCCGGTACTTCCCCATGTCCTTCCCTACTCCTTCCCTCTTAATCTTCTCCTACTCTGTTATTCTCCCAGGCACTTATTAATAACCCACAGTGCCTTTATTTGCTAGGGAAAGCACTAACTCCCCTGCACATGTCAGACACAGTGCAAGGGGCTGTGACAGAAGACAACACAGCCACCAGTTCCAGTGACGATAGAGCCGTGCTCACCAACGGATTCATATGAGCATTTGTCTTCTTCAAAATGCCTTCCCCTGTCCTATATAGAAAGAAACTGAACACCAACTAAACAGCAAGATGTTTAAGGAAATGTGTTTCTGACAATCCTTCAATACCATTCGATTTTTCTATAAATACACCTCTGAGATAGGACTGGGTTTTTTTGTTTGTTTGTTTGTTTTTTACTATTTACTATATTTTTACTATTGTGGCCAGCACTGAGAATTTATTGGCAAGTGTTCATCCTACTTGAAAATCCTAGGTGACAAACTAATTAGGGTTCTGCAGACAAACAGAACCAACAGTCTACAAAGAAAAACCGAGGTAGTGCACAGTGGAGAGAGATTTATTATAAGAAATTGGCTCAGACATTTATGAAGTCCAGCAAGTCCAAAAATGCAGAAACAGTATTTCAGGTCAAGTCCAAAGTAGAACCAGGAAGACCTGATGTCCCAACTTAGAGGCTGTCATATAAGAAAGGCAGATATGCCAGTTCAGAGACTGTCGGGGAGAATTCTGTGTCACTCAGGGTGGAGCCAGCCTTCTGTTCTATGATGGTCTTCAACTGACTGACTAAAGCCCATTCACCTCTAGAGGCCAAACTGCATCACTCAGTCTTCTAATGAAAACGGAATACTCTCACAGAAATACCGAGAAGATAATGTATGACCAAACGTCTGGGCACTCCATGGATCACTCAAGTTGACACAAAAAACTAACCATCACCAGTGCATATGTTCTTGTGAAATTCAGGAAGCTCAGTCTTTCCATGAAGCTACTCATGTCCCCAGTTCGGGCATAGCTTTAAGTAATTCCTTGATTTACTGAATGGACCTCTCCTTTGGGTATTGGCCATGTATGGTTTTAATCACACAAGTACTTTCTTGAATATTCTGTTGGTGTTTTCCCATAGTGGAAATACTTAGGAAGACAGTGAGGTTTGGAATGCATTCATCGTTGGAGGTAGAATCTTTCCTAAATCCATTCCCCTCAAGTTGAAAATGCTATATAAGCCGCCTTCTTCTCTTTCTTTTCCTATTCAAGCTATCTATTCATTCATACATTCTCTTTTCCACATGCTTTTTCCAGTTTCCTTGCCTGTATCGTGTGCATATGAGGTCATCTATCAAACATGTTTCAAAATTTTAAGGGCTATAGTGACTTAACTTTCTTGAGGGAGAAAGTCTATGTCATCATAAAAGTGAATGAGATCTGTTTGTGTATCAGTGGGAACAGAGCATATTTATAAGATCCCAATACCAGGATGTAGTATATCTTTCTAAACAGAAAGTGGCCACCAATATCAACAAAGATGAGTAACATTTCACTATCTGTAGAGGCACCAAGCAACAATCCAGTTAAATGATGCCAGCAACACTGTGTGTTCCTCCTGGGTACGCTGTCAGAGTTCTCTTGATGAAAATAGCTGCACTTTCAGGATAGAGCTCCAGCAAAGGATGGCTTTGATTAAAATAGCATTTGGCAACAGCTTTATGGAACAGTGGCTTTATTGAAGGATCTAGGTCAGGTTACAATTTGGGAATTTACTTCATCCTAATTTTTTTCCCTTTAAAATACCAACATGACCTTAAAGCAATTCCTCAATTTCCACTTTCTCTTGGAGGTTTGACAATGACATTGCTTGGCTCTTGGATGACCTACAATTCTTTGATTTTGTTTAGCCTTCAACAGAGTGTCTGGGTTTCTTTTGTTGTCCCTGAGGGCTGAATTTCTCCTAAAGATGGAGCTGCCAGCTCTGAATGATCACTTTAATATTTGGGTGTGATTGTTGCTTGGTCAGTTGTGACTGAAGCACAGAACCTTAGTGTCATGCTATCACAGATGGCCACACCTAAGTGCTCTCAGCAAGAAAACACATGCCCCAAGACTGGTGAAAATAAAACGGCACCATTCTGGCCAGTAGCAGTGAGTCTGTGGGTCCAAACTGCAAGCATAAAGTAAACCTCCGATCCCTTTATGCTAGAACATTGATTTTCCAGAGAATGAAGACAATTATGGAGTATGGTTGTCAAGAAACAAGAATTTGTGGATCCGTGTTCTCTGAGTGTAAACACCGCACTCAGTAGCTTTCTGACCTGAGCAGAGCAGGTCCCTTCTACCTGCTGAGCAGAGCAGCTTCTGTGCCCTGAGAATCACAGCCAGAGCTGAATAACCTGCACGTGTCCCGCTGACAGGAACAGAAAGATGAAAATGATGGGGTGTTTAGTTTGATCCTCAGGAATAAGAGAAGCCTTCTCCCTCTCTCTTTATTCCAGTAGAAATAAAACTAAGGGATTTGGCTTGAGCAGATGAAATGGATCTGCCTCAGAAGGGATTAGTGCCTAGATGTGTAGCTTGGCTAAAGCCAGAGCAATGCCACAGGGACTGCAGAGAGGCAGTCTTCAAGGCTGAGCTACCTGAGAGCTCATCTGTCCTTCTTGTCGAGATACAGCAGAGGTCAGTTCAACATTGACAGTTCAGAAACTGAAATATCAGTTAAAGGGTGGTTTGTTTTCATTTCTGATGGGAACATTGATAAGAAAAGTTTGAAGTGACAGTCTGGGAAACCACATCAAGGATAAAGACTTCGACACAATAGCAAGTTCAAGTAAACATCCCCAAGCTACCTCTAATAATCTCACCACATTGTCTGTTGAAAGACCTACTTAAATGACCTAGAGGAAGCAACTGAAAAGGTGAGCCTATAATCACACGAAAATAATGGCTGCTTTGTTAAGCATTTTCTCTTGGACCAATCTGAGCCTCATTGTTATCTATTACCATAATTACCTGAGTCCCTTCCCTATATTTTCTAGGGTACTGAGAAAGAGAAATTTTACACTGGAGATAACTCAGAGTATCTGAAACAACTCTTTCGCTTTTTTGCCAGTGGTTTTTATGGATACTGATTTTGCATAGAGGATCCTAATAGACAGACCACCCCTTCATCAGGATAAAACCATCAATTCTTTTCTTTGGACAAAGATTCAGGAATTCATACTTGACCTATTTTTAAACTTTTAGTTTAAGGCAAGTTCCTATTTTAGAACCAGTTCAACTGCACAATCGATTAATTATACCATAAATGCTACACAGTAAAGAAATGGAAATGTCATCAATGAGATAACATGCTCACACAGTGCATTCCTGTTGTCACCAAGTATCCTACCGCTTGCTAATTCTCCCAAGTGTGGTTTCATTATTAAAATCCCATTCCCGTTCCATTTATAGTACATAGTAGATGCTCCTTCATATGTAAAGTTTTTTTTCCTAGTAATACACAGTAGCTTGCCTTTCTGCACAATAAGCAATGGATTAATTCCGAGTTGTTCTCAAGTATACCGCATGGCAAATGTGGAT